GGAGTGGAGGCAGTTCGCAAACAAGCAGCATCAAAAAAGAGCTGCTAAGGGGAAACGACCAGCAGGAGAATCTGTAGAGGTGAAAGATGAAATAATTGTGCAGAGGATGAGTTCAGAAGTAACTGGAAAAGAGCAAAAGTACGCCAGGATTAGGCCAAGAGAATTCGTCCCATTCGATTTCGATGAAATAACTTTTGACAACATAGCAGAAGCTTGCCAGAAGCACTTTGCTCCCCAGATTGTTAAAGATAGGGTTTGCGACATCTTAGCTGGTGAATGTGGGCCTTCTTGTAAGAAGATGTGCCAAATTCCAGACCACAAAGTATTCTATGTGCGTTTTATAAATGTACTTAAGAGCTTAATGCTGGTGCATTAAAATACAGATACAGAGCTTGGTTTTGGCACTGTTGGTTTCACCCGCCCGAAATGAGGGGTAGAGGGGGGGGGGGGAAGGCAGGGGGCATGACCATTTTTTTAGGAGGAGTGGTGGGATGAATATAAAATGGCATGCCACCTTTGATCATGTTTGAACCATGAAATAAAAAAATAAATTGATGTTTCTAAGTTGCAGCATTTACACATGTACTCTTTTCTAAACCCTTCTGTGGAGATATTGTATGCCACAAGCTGATATTTTACTCATTTACAAATTTCCAAACATTGGTGAGGGAGAAGGTAAAAAATTAATACGCTTGGAATTGTTGCAAGCCATTCGTAATAACCTTATAATTTTGTTCTTTCTCACTTTTGCTAAAGACCAAAAAAACAAGGTGTGATGAAAATCGAAGGAAAAAGGCTGTGTCGGAACCAAGCCCTAAGAAAGTTTGCTCAAGTAAATTGTACCCCAAGAGTTTGTCCATCCAGGATATGCTAAAACTAGGGAAAGTCATCTCCAAGAAAAGTTCCACTGTCATTAGCATCTATAAGTTTGATTTTGAACACATGCAATGGTCCAATGTACCAGTGGAGGCAGAATTCTTGGTAGCTGAGACACCATTCACTTCTGGTGGATTCCAACGAGCTTTGAAGGCCACTGGCATAACAGAGGGACTCAAAGAAGTGACATGGGTCATCAAGAAGTACCTCGGAAATAATTAAAGCAAAACAAGAAACTGAAAAAAGTCACACAAAGAAGTCAGTCTAAATGCATTATTTGGCCCGCAATTTTGCATCACAACTGAAGGAACAAATTGAAAAAGAGCGCCTGGTGGAGTTTGACCCAACATTTGAATATAAAAAGGTATTCATGGGCAAGACAGACAGTGGGGAGTTTGTTTCAATTGAAGAGTACATTGACGGTGATTTTATTAAGTACATATTAAACAATAACGGTAAAGTATGTGAAAAGGGTACAGTTTGTGACAAGGCACAGGCCTTTGTCCATTTTACTCATAAGAAATCTGAGGGTAAGCTTATTGTTCTTGACATTCAGGGTGCTGGGTACACAATATATGACCCAGAAATTGCATCGTTAGATTCAAATGCTAACTGATGATGGTGCATACCAATTCTGTACTGGGAATTTGTCTGAAATAGCCATGAAGAAATTTTTGGAGAAACACCAGTGTAACAAGTATTGCAGACTTTTAGGACTTAAGTTAGTACCATCATAGGTCAAAATAACATTGAAGGATATATGAAGGACAAATATGTACACAAAACAAGAATATATAAAGGATAAGTTATTTTAACTGTTCCTGTTGTTGTCTAACATTGATTTCATTTTTGAAATTACAATCTTGCTTTTTGCACTTATTTACTCTGAGTGTACAGCCAACTCTGATTTTCTCCTTACCTTATGTTATTACCATGTTAAATTATTGACTTTAACCCATTAATAGCCACAGCTTTTGTGAAAAACTGTGTTTTGAAGCTAGTCAAGCAGATTTCGGGTCACTATTGTGGTTTTAAAAGCTCAAACTTACCACAAACCCTTTGACAGCTTGTACACTCGAAGGCCTTTCAATCCAAATGCAAAATGGCGGCCTGAAAATCTTGGGCACATGCAGAAAGCAAAATTTTGAGATAGTTTTTGGGTTGAAAAGTAATGCCCCACTTACGACTTTTACTTTTCTCTCTTTCTCCTGCCCTTTGTTTCCCCTCTCCTTGCCTGAAGTTTCTCCTCACTTGCTGGAAATTTAGTAGGCTTCATTTTGGTGTAGAGATTTTTTAGGAAACTACTCATTATTTTCAAACCACATGCTCAGAAAGGTAGGGGGTAATGGAACAAGATTTTCGTGCAGATTTTCAGGTCAAAGTTACACGGTTTTTTGGCTATTTCTCCAATCTCCTTCACTCAATTGCGCTCATTCTGGTATCGTTTGTAAGATATTTTCAACCTGTTCAAGTACGTGCTCAAAGTCATGCTCCAGGGTTAAAAGTGATGACATCACAAGGCATAGAAAGGGTGTGGGTCCACATGGGCGCTTACGGGCGCACTGGACGTCAATAGGTTAATGTTGTTGATAAGAAAATGAGAGGCTTATTCTGAACAAAAGTTTTCTGACTAATAATTTGAAAAGTTACGATGAATATATGGAGTTCATATATTTTTTGAACTGCGGTTATAGTGACGAATGATGCACGATCGTCACAATAGTGAAAATAGGTCAGTGGTTCAAATCCCGTACAGGCCTGATTTTTATAAGGTCTGATTTTCGCCATTGCATAAATAGCACTCTCTACTGCGAGGATCATGCATCATACGAATTTGAACAGTGTTTCAGTTTTATATTAAATAAGAAATATAACTGGATTTTTGCTTATTTGAAAATGAGAGACATATTTGGAACAAAGGTTTTATAAAAGTAGGTGATATGTTATATATGTTGAAATTGTTAAAGTTGTTGCATTCCATGATAGTTTACAGAAATTTACTAATAAACCACATAGATAACATGTTCCAATTTTTAAATTACACTGAAAGTGTGAAGTTCTATTTTAAAAAATATATGCATCTTTCCATTCATCTGGGTTAACAGTATCATTATCAGGAATGATGTACTCACATTCTTCCCTAAATTCTAGTGAAAGGAAATCATCTGGAATGCTTAATACACCAGATTCAGTTGCCACCTCCTTGAGTTGTTCCTCAGTAACTGGTAAACCTGAGCAAGAAATGTAACATGCATTAACAGGGAGGTTAGAGATCCCTCCAAATTTATACTTTTCCTCTCTGTTAATATCCTCATACTTGGATGTCAAGAGTATTGTTTGTAGGGTTCATTTCCTTTCCCAGAAAAATGCTCCTGAAAGAAAGTCTTTATTTTTTTAGAAGGCAAAATATGTTGACTGATCAGTATTATGTACATTCAGTGTACCATTGAACAACCACCAAAAGGAATTTTGCCTTTGGATCAAGATCTCATATACTTGGTTGTCATGGGATTTCATCAGGGAGCAATAAATCAAAGACTGCAAGTCTTAATAACCCTATTGAATGAATGAATGAATGAATGAATGAATGAATGAATGAATATGAATGAATGAATGAATGAATGAATGAATGAATGAATGAATGAATGAATGAAAGTACTGGATCCACATTGTAAATTCATTTATAAGGCAGAGGATGCTATGGCACATACCACACTCTTCAAGCCCATAATTCTCAGGGAAGTTATAGATGTGGTCTGGTATACCATCTGGAAGTGCAGTGTCTCTCTGTGCTCTGATCCTGCGTGTGTTCCACACTGTTTCTCTGAAAATATCTAACTCCTTCTGTATAAGAGGTACCATGATGAAAGCCAAAAGCAATCTGCCAAAACATTAAATATAATGTTAAAAGCAGTCATGAAAGGATACTTCTGTAGGCAAATACAGTAAATTAAGTCAAGAAGTACATGACATTCCTTTGAATGATATACAGCAGAGGCAAGAGGTACAAAAAGGTTCTGAAGATAACTGATCCAGATCCCAATTGTTGCACATACCTATCAGACTCACTGTGTGTATGAAATACACAGAGCACTTCCATACCTGATTTGAGGTAGAAGGGCCATATATGACTGTTTTATGAGGATCCATATCATTGTGGTGTCTGCAAAGGAAAGTGTGCA